CGTGTGCGCCCCGACTCCATTTCTTTATCCAGCGTTTTGCTAGCACCGCGCAACCATCGACCTTTCGCTGGCAACCTCCCAATGGAAGCGAAAAAATAAATAAAAATTGCACATAAAATGTTTGACTTATCACTGCCGTTGTTGGAGACCCCCAAGGTTTCTCCCGACGATTCGGAACTTCCACGGGAAGCGAGAGACACAAATGCAGACATTTCGTTGCCGCGGCAACCCCCATGGCGTTGCTTGGTAATATACACTTCCTGTATTTAAAAAAAAAAGACCCTGGAATGAGGAACTGGGATTAAAAATTGCAAATTCGGCTGGAAAATGAGCTTTTTATTCACAAGTAAATTTATGGACACACACAAATGGTAGACGAAATACAGTAAACATGCTGTGACGTGCACTTACAGTGCTTTACGTGACCTTTGAGCTTTGCCAACTGTCTCTGAATTTTCATATATATATATATATGTATGAAATTGCTTGTAAGAATGGTTTCACCATTTTTCACGAATTAGAAGTGAAGAATTCCAAAGGAGGCATTAAATCCTTATATTTTTCTGTAGGTAACCCTCAGAGGAAAACATTTGGACACCCCTTGTCTTAAGTTGTCCTCCATGAAACAGGAAGTGGCCTGCTAACATACAAACAGACAATAACTGCGAATTGCTTTCAACAGAAAACTTTGGCTCGAGAGCTGGTTATGGTATTATTTTGCGGATAACAATAGAACTTTGAGGTGATTGGAAAATAATAACCAACCACCAAGTGTACAGTAATTATAAGGGACCGTGTAGTATTTTACCTCCTTGGGAATAAGAAGTCCAGATTTATCAAAGGCGCAACCCACACAGTGCTTGTCACAATCTATTCATGAACAAGCAAAAACTGGCACATACATAAAATGGAAGCTGCCTGTCAAGCGTTCGTATGACAGGCGCCATATTGGCTGAGTGCCACGTCGGTGTTTGGCTGTGACTCCCCATACATGCACTGAGACATTGAAGGCGCTAATTCATTTGTCAAAGCTTTTTTTTTTTTTAAAGACCTGCGTCTTGTCATTGCCATGTGTCTTTTCCGTGCGTTTTATTCAAGTGTCCCAAGGTGTTGTAATGTGGAGCTTTGACATTTCAACCTTTATTAAAAATACAAGTGTGAAGATACGCGGTTATTTTTCTGTTCTTTGTTAAACATCCAGCAAATAAAGGTCATCACTTGACTGCAACCTTCAGGTGGTACACAGTAATTAATTAATTTTGCTGGTGTTGTTGTTGTTTTTCTTTCCAGGAACCCCAGATTATATAAATGGCTTGGAAAGGTCAGTGAGCCAAAGGATGAATGCTATGAAAACATTGACACAAGCCACGGGATGTTGACATATGTATCATAGCGGTATATCTGAAAAACAGGGGAGGAAAAAAAAAACTTTTTATTGCCATTTTCTGTCTCACTTGTCATTGCTCATGGTGCTGACTGCAGAAACTGATCCTCACAACAATGTGGTCGAACCACAGGCGGATACAAAAACCTTGACTGCAAATGTTGCCTATTTGCTGTAATAAGAAGTGAAGCCAAGACCGGTCATCTTGTGTTGCCACTCACTAAGTGAGCGTGAATGTACTTAAAACTACACACGCAGGCGCAGCACAGGCAGACACACAATCAAATGAAATTAGAAACACACACACACACTCACACACACATTATGTGGGATAATATCATTGTGGGACTAAAATACAGGGAAAACGTACAAGTTGACAGGTATGAGTTTCACTTGCTTGCGTGCCAGGAGCGGCTGCGAGCGCATTATCTAATTATCAGCCCTCAATTCTACTTCGTCCAGTGTCACGGCGATTCCCCAATTAGGCTGCAACACGTGCATTCACGCCCCTCCCTTTTTAAGGGCGTTTTCGTAAGAGGCACGTGTGTCATCACAAAAACAACAATTTTATGCACGACTGGGAAAAGAAATATAATTGAATAAATCAAGTATGCACGCTCTGGTGAACGCCTTCATGCGTTGCCTCTCCTTCCTGCTGCCCCCCTCCTGGCTGTGTGTCAGCCTGTGCTTGTGGGCCAGTGAGTGCGAACAGACGCCGCCACGGTCCAATCCCAGAGCTCGCTTCCGAGCTACAAAGCCTCTTACATATGAGGAAGTGTTTTTTATGTTAGGGTGAAGCGGTTGTGCTATGATTCAGGTTTTGTCATGGTCAGGAATTAAGGACTGAGTGAGAGTTTATATGATTTTGCATTACTGAGTTTACATTGGTCATGGGTTTTGCCTTTGTGGTTTTGCAATTATGAGTTTTTGGGTATGTACACATTAGGGTTTTAATTTGGGATTCTGCATTCTGAATATGCAATCAGGCAGTCCTTCTCAAAGTAGGCTTCCTCTTGTGGTACGTTAAAGGAGTAGTTACAATCTTAGGCTCGGCATGGTCATGGCTTGAGTTTTACGTTGGGGATTCTGTCACGGTTGGGGTTATGATTTTGTCATGGCTAGGTTTAGTGTCACGGTTGGAAATTATCTGTGTATTGGGAAAAAAAAAATTATAATCTACATTAAGAACTGCCAGTCTCTCGCTCTCACTCACACACACACACGCACACACACACACACACACAAGTGCACACACGCACGCTCACACACACGCATCTCTGCCACACTTCCCATGTTACACTGTACACGCAAAGTGGAGCAGTGTGTACGGCATGTGGTGCAGAGAATGAGTCAGACTGCCCACCAGCTGTGAGCCTCGCTTGCCAATGTTTGGGACTCGGGGTGCTTCATGCAGGGATGGTGAGAGCTAGCAAAACTATTATATGAGTGATTGTCACCATTGTTGGGTCGAGGACAAGAAATGAGCTTGGAAAAGTCAAAGGCTCAGTAACAACTGGCCCAAAAAAACAAGTGGGCGCATTGTTTAACCATGACCACATAGCCAAGGCCTCGATCACTTGTGGAAGTCAATTATTAGTGTTCAATATATTCCTAGTCACATAGTTTTGAGCTCCTTTTGAACCCGAAACACTTCCAAGGACAATGGAAAACAAATTAATATATTGAATTTTGTGTGACTATTCATAAAGGGCAGACTAAACTTACTTTTTCCACAATCTGACACTCTTAAGATTTAATGGGCCTTACCTCGCTCGACCCACACACGAGTCAATTTAATGGAAACGTTGCCCTGGAAACCTACAAAATACACAAACCATGTCCTCCCTGGCAGAACTAACCAAACTTCCGAAAAAAGTCTCTTTTTCTGGTATTGGTGTCGGTTGTTGGTATATTCAATTAGGTGTTAAGATATCTTTTTCAATTTGAAATGGTCCAATCTCTCAGAATTTCTGCTTCCCAACCGTAAAAATTCCCCAATTTCTGCAAATTGTCCACGAAAGCAGGCCGATTCCCTTTTTGTTGAGTCAAAATAAAACAGTTGCTTTTACTTTGAAAAAATATTATTCACGTTTGCCTGTTTTCTGGCATGTTATGCACCAAACCAGTCACTGAATCATAACTAATTAGTTTAAACAATATCTTCACTGTTAGTTTGAAATACTGTCCTGATTTTTAAGAAAATGATCTGGAGAGGCCGACATTTGAGAAAATGATCAACATATTAATCAGATATGAATATAAACATTAGTTAAAGCCGTAAGATTCGGTCATGCTGTCAGACTACGAGATAAATATCATTCTGTGTCTTGGACCAGCCGAGCTATCTCGCTAAAAGTCTGTTACCAACCAGACCCTGCCCAATTGTCGCGTGCTTCCGTCAAGATTCAGTCCATCGGCCCGGGTCAATCGGGGAGGAGGGACAGCAGCTGTCAGTCATGTCGGCGGAGGCATCATGTGCATGTGCATGGTTTCTATGTTCAGAAAAGGCAAAAAAAAAAAAAGTTAGGACCCATTTCTTAATGGTGGGGAGAGGGCAGTATCGACTTTTGTCATCGTGGTCGTGAAGCGCCCAGACGCCTCCCAACCACTCAGTGCGTATGTCACACTCCACGGGCTCAAAACGGCTACAAGACACTATGTTTGTCTGCAACACGTCTGTCGGCTCACAATCAGCGGGCAGCGTTCGTGTCGTCTGAAGTTGGCATCGTAAAAGCAAATGTTCGAAAATGCCTTGTTGGTAAATACAAAAGATAATCAGTCTGCTTTCATGAATGACTACAGAAATCAGCTAGATCCTGAAATCGGAGGATTTGGACAATTTAAACATTAGCTCAAAACGATTTCTCGATTTTTAAAATAGTTGTAACTTGACAATCGACTAGTTGTCAATTAATCGATTAATTTTGACAGCTCTCGATTGGAAGGGGGAAAAACTGCGATCAGTCTCACAAAGATACGAAAGATCATCACACGTCTCCTTTCCTGAAGTTTCCGTACCTGTCAACCTCGGCTAATAGCTGCCCTTACAAATGATACGATTCCCCTTACAAAGCAACAAAAACCCGTACAAAACGGTTTACCGCGCATGCGCACATCATGCTTTATCAGTCCGACCATACGCAGCGATGAAAAAAAATATACGATTGAGCATTACTTTTGCTGGTTTGCCGTGACAATAGTAGCGATCGACGACGTCATTGTCGTTGGCTACCAGCAGGTGAGACGATCTGGATTTGAGCCAAAATGGTCTTTGTGAGATCGGTTCACAATTGTTTTTTTTCCGTATAAAAGTTGTAATACGCCGTACATTATTTGAAATGATAAAAAAAACGTATAAAATACAGGGAAAACGTACAAGTTGACAGGTATGAGTTTCACTTGCTTGCGTGCCAGGAGCGGCTGCGAGCGCATTATCTAATTATCAGCCCTCAATTCTACTTCGTCCAGTGTCACGGCGATTCCCCAATTAGGCTGCAACACGTGCATTCACGCCCCTCCCTTTTTAAGGGCGTTTTCGTAAGAGGCACGTGTGTCATCACAAAAACAACAATTTTATGCACGACTGGGAAAAGAAATATAATTGAATAAATCAAGTATGCACGCTCTGGTGAACGCCTTCATGCGTTGCCTCTCCTTCCTGCTGCCCCCCTCCTGGCTGTGTGTCAGCCTGTGCTTGTGGGCCAGTGAGTGCGAACAGACGCCGCCACGGTCCAATCCCAGAGCTCGCTTCCGAGCTACAAAGCCTCTTACATATGAGGAAGTAGTCGCAGTAGCCGCGGCTGTACACGGTGGGGGGGGGTGTGC